ATTAACATATGATCTGATTAGTCAACTAATCAAAAAATAATAATCGGTGATTAATCGACTATAAAAATAATTGTTTGTGGCAGCTCTGGTTGATAGTAAAACCAAAGTTATGACAATTATATGATAATTACAGAACTTTTTTTTAAAAAAATGGTCATTTTTGAAGCAGAGAGGAGCATCGAGCGGACTGATTGGGGAAATTTCCAGTCAGTCTGCCTGGCAGCATTAATCATATTAATCCTGAAGTGCCAAAAAAATAATCGATTTAAGCTTTTCTGACAACTAATTGCATACGATACGATCTTGCCCAACTCTATTGTAGAGGCGTGTTTACTTATTATATGGAAGTTCTTTTGATTCTGTATAGTTCATGGGATATTTTGCTAACAGAACAGGTAATAGCATGAGTACATGTTGATCAGTCTCAGCTACTACCAAACCAAATGTTCTATCAACATCTGTCAAACCGACTGACTTATTGCCAATTTTGGGTCGTACAAGATGACCTAGTTTTGGCAGCCATCTTGCATTCATTGGGCTGACCTATTACATAAAATCCATCAAGTGGTTCATGAGATATTTCMCTAACAGACAAACGGGCAAAAACATCATCACCCTTCTTTACCTTTCTCACTCACTTCTAGACAACTTGAACAGCATGTGTGTGCAGTTTTCAGCCTTATTTCAGACTTGCTCTTTCAGCTTGAGCACACCTGATTCCATTCATTAATTACAGTGTCAAGTTTACCTTTACCTTATTAAATCCAACAGAGCAGTGAGAAGATGGCCTACTTTCAACAGCAGGGTTCAATGATGAGGAAATCTGAGGCCAAGTGATTTATTTCCTGTGCGTGTGTGTGTGCGTGCGTGTGTGTGTGTGCGTGCGCGTGTGTGTGTGATATCCTGCTCTAAACATGACCAAGTAATCACATCTGTCATGCTCTCTCTGCTCTCGTTTCAGCCAAATGCCTGAGCAGCACACAAATAATGGCTCCAACACACTGGAAAATTATTTTTAAGATGAACTGCAGCCAAATAGATTATTTTTTTAGGCAAGATCATCCAGGGTTTGTTTAAATAAAACTTCCCGGAAAGATGAGATGTAAAAAAAAAAAAAAAAAAAAAAAAAAAGAGAGAGAGAGAGAGAAAGCAGGGAAACTCTCCGTCACCTTCTGGTATTCACGCTGCCCCTTCCTCTGTTAAAAGCTCTGCTTTCTTTTCCCACTTCAGCGACTGGTTTTCTCGCCAACTTGGCTTCGTTTTCCAGGTAAGACGACGGCGACCAGGAGGACTCGCCGCCCTCCTCCAACTCCCGAGCCTCTCCAACTTCTTTCAGCGGCAGCGAGTCGCCCGCGCCGCCGCCGCCGCTGCTGCTGCTCCCCAAAAAGTACAAAAGTAGAAAAACTCCGAAACCCGCGGCGATCGCAACTACTCTGCAGTGGATCCGCATGGCGGTGAGAGCGACTTGTTGCGGGAGGGGAAGGCCGGTCGGGACTCCGCTCATGTCTGCAGCGGCGGAGGGAGAGCGGCCCGAGCTGACATTTTGTCACCGCTCCCCTCTCGCATGTTCCTGCAGATGATGGAGAGCAGAGAGAGCCGCTTCTCCCCGGCCGTCCGCGGAGGATACCGAGGAGGCGTGGCTTCTTCTGRCTTACCGTAATGCTTACTGTAATACCGCACCGTGTTATATTTGTTTCTAAAGTTTCTTGAAACAATGCTAGAAGAAGAAGAACAATATGCAACATCAAACAAGGATTGTTAAATATTTAAACTGATGAAATATGCAGGTCCTTCCCCAAAAAGGATGTTGCCAGGATGGGAGTATTTTTTTTTCTAAAACGTGTACTTTTCTGCACTGATGGTACATTTTTCAGATATGCAAGCTGTCCATGCCATATGCATTGATGCACCCCCATATCATCAGCGAGGCAAGTTTTTGAACTGTGTGTTGATAACAAACAGCCCCTTTCTTTTTTTAACCTTAAGAACATGCTGTTTGTTGTTTCAAAAAAATTTAAACTTTACTTCTTCAGACCACAGGACAGTTTTCCTCTTTGCCCCAGTCCATCTGACTGGAGTAAACTTTGGCCCTAGAGAAAATGGCAGTGATTCTAAATGATGTTAATATAATGTTTCTTCTTTGCATGATCCGTCCATCCGTTAGTCCCTCCGTCCGTCCGTCCGTCCGTCCGTCCGTCCGTCCGTCCGTCCTTACTGTGTCTGACAAATAAATATGGATTTCATTGCATCCTGCTTTTTTTTTTTTTTTACAATGTCCCTTTTCCCCCCAAAACTGGGGTTGTATTCAACTTTYAACGGTTAAATATTTGTTTTCTCCAAAACAATTTAAGTCCTGGGCACTGCACAGGCACAAATGTCTCTGTGTATTGCAACAATAATGRACAAAGAAAAGAACAGGGTGAAAGAATATTTAGCTGAACACAACAAAACAGAAAACAAGTAGATTAAAGTATCAGAAAAACAACTCAATCTGTATTAAAAGCCGGTGATAAGAAATGTTTTAAAAAGATATTTAAAAAGTGGAAATTACGAGGAAGAAAATCTACTTTGTAAATGATTATGACTGTTTTTCTTGTATGACTTTTTCTTACAGAAATAAGTTTTTTGTTTTCCCTTCAGTGAAATCAAACAGCCCGTTTATACTATACATTACGGTAACATGGAGGTTCAGTAAACAGCAGTCTGTGCATGTGAGGATAGCCACGAAGTGTTTAGCCGGWTGAGTATGTGTTGTGTTTATCATTTCAACCTTATGTACTTTTAATAACTTGAGCTAAAACGGTTCACATCGAGTCCGCGGTTTAAAGTTGATAGCGTTACATGTGTGCTTTCGGCAGGTGCTGTCTGCTGCATCCCACGAGGAGGCAACTCGTGTTGTTAGCTTGCAGCTAACAACAAACGGAACTCCCTTTAAGAATCCGCTAAGTCAGTATGACTTCTATTTTTTCGACAAAATGGACCGTATTATAGACAACGCTGATTGTTTTACAATTGTGATGGTCTATGTTTAATTTCGGTTTGTTTAAAAGCAAACAAACAGCTTGTTTTTCATAAATATTGAAAACTTAAAACAGAAGAAAAGACACATYAAGTGCTGCAAGTTAATGTTATTTATAGAAATATTATTATTTTGCCATGGGAGATCAGCCGGAAAACAGTGTAGACTTTTATTAATAGAGAAACATGATAAAATAATTATTTTTGGGTCTCTCGGCTTTTTTTTTATCCAGATCATGCTGCAGTGAAATGACAGACCTGTTCAATCTAGCAGCAGAAATTAGTATTTTAAAARATATTAATATACCATAAAAAGTTTTTGTAACTCGCAGCTTCAGGTGGATTTATGTCCTCGACTCAGGAAATATTATTATTTTRCTGTCACATTTTCCAGACATAAACACTATTTGAGCCACCCACCAGGGGGCGTGCTGCTCTGAGCTGTGCTGTGATTTATTCAGTCTGGATCAGGAACATCATCCTGTAAATCAGCTGACAGTCCCTCTTGTCGTTTGTGCTTCTGCTTCCAGGTTTAGTCAGAATGATAACTCCTGCCTTTGACTTGAGCCAGGATGCWGAACACCTGATCTTCAGCATCCGGGTACCTTTCACCAGGACGTCAGAGTTCGACCTGTTCATTGACGGGACAGATTTTAAGTTTTACGCAAAGCCCTACTTTCTCAGGTGAGTCCTCCTCCACTGACYTGTTTTCAACTAGCAGCATCCTTGTAAGACTTCAGTTTGGATGTGAAATATTTATTTTTTTATGTGTGTAAAGAAATGTTTATGATTGTTGTTGTCAGATTAACTCTTRCTGGAAGAATTGTGGAAGATGGAAGGGAGAAGGCCACATTTAACATTGATAAAGGTGGGTCGRATATTAAACAAAACAAATTACATTTACTTCATGCACATACAGTGGCAGTTAAACAGTACAGCTTGTTAAACACAGTTGGRTTGAATGAATGGGTGATTATCAGGCTTCTGCAGAACTTGGAAGAAGTGATTCAAAGACTGAATCTGTTGTGTTAGAGAAGGATAAAAAAATAAAACATGCAGGGCTGCGGCCCTCCAGGACCAGTATTGCCCCACCCCTGGCCTAGACCATCGTACCCTTATCTGTCTGCTAAAGCTTTTATTATAACAAAAAAGAGGGCGAGTTAAGATGTTTGTCAGGGTTCTTTCATCTTTGTACAGAAAGCTTCCCCACTGTGCCAGCAGACAGTTTATTAAGCTGTCTGTTATGGGACAGTTACCCTCCATGTTTTCTCCACACAGCCCTCTGGTTTTAGCAGCTTGCTCTGAATTTTAAAGGCTTAAWTTGAACAACTGCAGTCGAGACTGAAAAACATTTATTGAAGGACAAACAGTGTTGTAATTTTCCAAGTGTCACCAAATATGTTTGGATTTTATTTAAACATCTAATTTCCTGCCTTTTTTTTTCTTTTCAGTATGAGTTTTGCACAATGTACTATTCCTTTGATTTTAATGAAATTCCAGAGCGTCCTAATAATATCTATAGAGGTTTTTTGAAACTCCCTCTGCACATTACAGATGGCTGCAGTCAATGGTTTTTTCTATTTCTAACAATGACGATAACAGAGAGCAGTTTGTGTTCACTCATAGGCTCTTTCTTAAGACCATTCTGCAGAATGGATGCACAGACCGGTCTGTGTTTAAGCTCTCTCTGGCCAGTACCTTATTCAACATCACAGAGGTTAGAGCTGGGCGATATGATCAAAATTTTATATCACGGTATTTTCAACATTTTCACCGGTTTCACTGTATTTGACGGTATTTTTCTTTTCATCACAGCTCAGCTGATAATGAAATGTACAAACTCTGCTCATTGAGTTTTTTTCTTTTACTGTACTTCTGTCTGTGTCTCTGTTTCCCTCCTCTGTGTCTGTTCTTCTCTGACTGGTGGTTGGAGACAGTAGTCACGCATTTTGGTCCAGTCGTGAAGGAGGAGGGTTAAGACTAGCTAACTAACTAATCACTAACTAACCGCGTTAAATCTAACTGTGCACATCACTGAAGAGGTGTTTACTACATTCAGCGACGGTGAAAACGGGATGTTTTTTTAAACGTCAGTCAATATAAGCAGCAGAATCGCCACCTGCTGCTGCAACTAGCTGCTCCAAACATTAGCATGCTAACGCAGACAGCGGTGCAGCAAGAAAAAATGTCCCCCGGGAAACAACAGTTCACTGGCGGTCGAGACGAAATGTTCCGCTATTTAAACCGGAATGTCCGGTATTCAAAAAATTCATATCATAACAAAAATAAAAACCGGTATTCAGTACAAAACGGTATACCGCCCAGCACTAACTGAGATGCAACAGGAGTGGGCTGTGAAACAGTCTTGAACCATTCAGAGGACACACCGAGGCGGTCAMAACACGTCCCAGTCCTGGAAAGAAGCGTCTTATGAATGGGCCTTCTTTTTCAACATAAGAGCAACTCAACCTAATCCTCCATCCAAATGAGCCTTGGTGTGGATAAATTAATAATATATATCGTGATAGACACATGCTCAAGAGGAATAGAAAATATGTCCAATAGAACATTGACAATTTCAATGAACTCTGATCCAGAGCTGCACGGCATTCTGGGAGATGTAGGCAGAGAACAGGCTTTAGCTCTGGGGTCGCCAACCAGTAGCTCATGAGCTCTTCAGAAATGAACAATTAGGAGAAGCAAAATTTAATTTGTCACTGGCCAAACAAACTTTCATTTAATCTATAAATGTCCCTTCCCCTTKGTTTTCAATCAAACAGTTTAGGGCTCAGTATGGTCGATCAGCAGACGATGCATGGTTATATGGTTGTTCGGTGTTCGTTTGCACGCACCTTTCATAGCTCCTTCAGACACCAAGCTCCTGGGAAACTGCTACTGCTGCGGTATACGTCACTGCACAGGGTTTCTTCCAGCTGGAGTCTACAATGCGGAAAAATAATCAGAGACCGTCACTCGATGTTATTTGTTCACAAATCTGTTGCGGTTAAGTTYGTAGTGTGTAATACACTATAATATGATAAACACAAAAAGCACATTCATGTAAATTCAGTGTTTTTTGTGGTAGTTTCATGTGAACTGAAGACAATGTTTTTTGTGCAAAACAAAGTTATTCCAATCGTTTAAGTTTAAAATTAAATGTTGCGAAAAGAAGCTCTTGGACAATTTCCTTTTGTGAAAGTAGCTCTTAAGGAAAAAAAAAGGTTGTAGACCCCTGCTTTAGCTACTCAACCTCTTGACAGCTCAGCTAAGCAAGGTTGGTGGCTTCAGCTAACTCACTCACTCTTTGGTAAGCTAGCAACAACCTGTTGAGTAACATGCTCAGTAACAGTTTCATGTTTCACCACCGTGCCTCAGAACTGCTTAAAGCCTAAAAAAAGAACAACAAAATGAAAGGAGAAAACAAGCAAAACAGCTCGAGAAGAAATTGTGGATAAAAGAGGAGAAGTCACATCACGGCTCTGGCAGTATTACTCAGTCTTTTTTCTCCTGATCCTTATTTCAGATAGGTCAAACAAAACAAATCAATATTTATCAATATTGACTGAAATGAAACACTTATATTTTTATTTATTTTACTGTTGTTTTACCAGGCAAATCCCACTGAGATCACATATCTCTTTTTCAAGGGAGGCCTGGGCCTGAAGGCAACCTATTGTACATGTTTTTGGGGTATGGGGGAAACCGGAGTATCCAGAGAAAACTCACAAGCAGAAAAAGAACATGCAAACTGCCCAAACCCAGGACCTTCTTGCTGTGAGGCGTCGGTGCTAACCACTGAGCCACCGTGCCATATCCTGTTATATTTTTTCAGCCACGTCGCCCAGCCTTAGTGTGGTCATCATTTTTAATATAACTGTTTTTATCCTTGAGATTGAAGTGTCTGTGCCTTTCTCTGAAATACAAAAATCACAGTAGCAGCTAGGGACCTGCTTTGGAAACTACAGTGGATTTAATGAGCACAGTAATTTCTATGTAAACATGTCATTTTTCCACAGTCAACATCGGAAACATCCTAACGTTTATGTAATTACAGTGCCCTGTTTATCTGTCGTTTACATGTAAACAATGGCCTCAGTCAGTCAGGCAAAGAAAAAAAAATGTCTACATCAAGTTATTTCATCCCATTAAACCACTAAACCGTTTGCAATGCTATAATTATTGCAGCTTGCAGCTTCTCATTCTTAACAAACTAGTGTGTAATTTTGTCTTCAACATAAAATCTCAACCAAAGCATATAAAATTCAAGTAAAAGAAATATAGTACAAGATGTTAACAATCTAACAAATGAACTAAATCATGCAAAATTCAAGTCACTCTCTGGAAAAACTATAATAAACATTTATTTATTATTTTTTATTTAACATATTTCTCAAT